TAATTCCATTGGCAAATCATCTTGTTTGCCTGCTCAAATTAAGGGTAAATACACTTAATTTAAGACATTTTTTACTTATTTCCAGATGTTTTTTGCAGTGGGTTTGCTGCAAAAACAATCTCGAAATAAGTCAAAATGTCTTAAATTAAGTGTATTTACTCTTAATTTGAGTAAGTAAATAAGATGATCTGCCAATGGAATGAGAATTTTTACTCTTAAAATAAGGTAATTACATAATATACACTTGAAATAAGACAATGAAATATTTTTTTTTCTTGTTTTAAATGTAAATCGTCTTATTCCATTGGCAAAGTTTCTCACTTACCGCCTCAATTCAAGAATTAATGCACTTATTTTAAGAAATAATTACTGATCTAGATTTTGATTTTTTCCAGTGTTGTCCTACACTGAAAAAAATTGAATTCTAGATATGTAATTTTTTCTTAAAATAAGTGCATTTTTTTGGATTGAGGAGGTACACTGCAAAAACCTTCTAGAAATAAGTAAAAATTTGTTAAATTAAGTGTATTTACCCTTAATTTGAGGAAGTAAATGAACAAGTTTGCCAATGGAATAAGTATTTTTACTCTTAAAATAAGATAATTAGATAAAATGCACTTAAAATAAGACAATGCAATTGTGTTTTCTTATTTTAAGTGTAAATTGTCTTGTTCCATTGGCAAAATGTCTCTTTTACCTCCTCAATTCAAGAACAAATGCACTTATTTTAAGAAAAAATGACTTATCTAGATTTTGATTTTTTCCAGTGTTGTCCTAATTTCCTTGAAGTTTAACTTTCTATTTAAACCAGTCATTCTACTTTAAACCAAAAGGCAGATTCATGTCAACGCTGCTGAAAAGCTCTCATTGGGTTCATTTAAAAAAAAACTCTGCAATTACAGTTCTCTCTAAGATGACCACATTCTTACCATTATATGCTCATTATGACTTAGAAAAGCTTCAAATTGCCATAAAACAAACCAGAATAGTTGCTAAGAAAAATAAAAAAAGACACTTAAAGCCACTGATAAAGGGGTAATTATCTTTTATCACACTGGGCAGGTTAGTTTTTAAGACAGGTCTGAGTTTATTTTCCAGGGAATGGCATAGAAAGGCATCATTTTACAGTTTATTATTCGGGTTTTTGCACTGTTTATTATGTGGTTTTAATTGCGGTTTGGCGACTTTTTGCAGAGATGCACAGGAGTGAGGGGAAGAGGAATGCCAAAGGCTGCAAATTCCCCGCTCGATGTGGAGGGTACGCTGGGAGTCTGGGTGAACTGCTTCTAACCCTGGATTGAGTTTCAGCAGTGACAGAGGAACATTTAGGGTCATCTGGGATCGCAGTATACATTTAGGCTACTTGCTTAGATTAGTTTTTTCCGGCTAAAAAAAAAAAAAAGGAAAAATGTGGGATTTAGGGAATCCTGTAAAAGTGTTGACCCTTTAAACTCCCAGCAAGTGCCAAGCCACCTGTACCTCCAACCAAACACTTTCCCAGCTCTAAATTCAAAATCTCACTGAATTACTCCCTCAGTGAGCGCCTCCAATGTTTGTGTAAGAAACGAGCCTCCACCTTTATCCCCGGGGGTCTCGCTACAGATGGTGCTCCACCTTGCCAAACTCCTCTCTTTGCCTCTACAAAGATTTCTTACTTGCAAACCAAAGTTAAACCTCTGCATCGCTCCCTGATGTGCTCAATCAAAGCTGGAATGTAAACTCACACCTGATGTCGGCTTTTAAAGAAACATCTTCACTTTCTCTCTGTTGCTCTCTTATGATAAATTCCCCTCAATTTGAAAAAACAAAAACAAAATACTTTACGATGCAGATATGAAGCCATTAGAACAGAGTGAAAGCTTGTTGATTAGTCAATGGGTCCAAATGCTAATGCTGGTCTCCCTTTAGGGAGTTAAGCTTTAGTAAAGGGGGATAAATGTAATTTAATCCTCAGTCAGAAAAGGAACTGCGCCTCTTAAACCACCTTTGACATTTTAAAAGGCTGATCAGGGAATTAAAGGGTACAGAGCTCAACTATTACACATCTTTTCAACATTACAACATCTAACTTATTTGGATATTGGTGATAAATCAATAGAAAATATGATAATTGTGTTTTTTTTTAACAGAGATCTGAAAAATGCTGCATGTTTTTGTATTTAGTTCTCTTTATAATGATGCCACTTATGATCAAGTTCATTGCACAATTAATAAGTGAGTCTGCCTGTTTTTCAGTTGATCTCAGTACAAATCAAGCTGCTCTGTGAAGGCTTCAGAGGCTTGTTAGAAAACATGAAGGAATAAACATCTTAATTAAAAGCAGGTAAAAACCGATTTAATGAGGGAAAATAAATAAATCAGGGTTTGGTTATAAAGGGACCAACCTTGGTTTGAGCATCTAATAAGGCGGTGTTTGATCCACCTAAAATGACTAAACACACAATCATCCACCTACTAAAACAAATTTAAAAGCCTAAATTTACAGCTTGCCTCAAACATGAGACAAAACCAGCATTTGAAAGGATGTGCGCAAAACAAAAACAACTTAAAAAAAAACATATATTTTGAGACAGTGGCCTTTACCAACAGTATCCAGACAGGAAATAAGCAGTCAGACTGAGGAAAGCAAGCAGCAGAACGCCTCAATACAGGAACTATATACCAGACGTTTGCTTTTACACTGGAAAAAATCGAAATCTATGTAAGTCATTTTTTCTTAATGTAAGTGCATTTGTTCTTAGATTGAGGAGGTAAAACAGACATTTCGCCAGTGGAACAAGACAATTTACACTTCAAATAAATAAACACAATTGTATTGTCTTATTTCAAGTGCATATTATCTAATTATCCCTTTTTAAGAGTAAAAATACTCATTTTATTGGCAAACTATCTCCTTTACCCACTTAAATTAAGAGTAAATACACTTAATTTAAGAAATTTTTACTTATTTCTAGGTCGTTTTTCCAGTGTAGGACTATGATCTCTACTGTTAGTCACCACACTTAAATTAAGTGTATTTACCCTTAATTTGAGTTGGTAAATGAGGTAGTTTGCCAATGGAATCAGTATTTTTACTCTTAAAATAAGATAATTAGATAATATGCACTTGAAATAAAACAAACCAATTGTGTTTTCTTATTATTAGTCTAAATAGTCTTGTTCCATTGGCAAAATGTCTCTTTTACCTCTTCAATCCAAGAACAAATGCACTTATTTTAAGAAAAAATGACTTATCTAGATGTCGATTTTTTTCCCAGTGTACCTCCTCTATCAAGGAACAAATGCACTTAATTTAAGAAATAATTACTCATCTAGATTTTGATTTTTTCCAGTGCATGCTCACTGAAATGAGCTGAAATTTCATCCTGAAAGTTCATTTTTAATGTCAACACTATGCACTGAAACCATTTGGACATTTTTGTAATCCCCATGGTGTTACAAGGAAGTGGCTGCATCGTGTTGCGGGATGCTTTCAACCAGCAAACCCAAGGATGCTGGTCAAGTTTAATGGAAATGTGAATAGAGCCATTAAGGGGAAACGCAGTTTACAAAAGATTTGAGACGCGGACTGAGGCTCAATTTCCAGCAGGATAACAACCCTAAAGATTTGGATAATGAGCATAATGAGCTCATTCATGGGTTTGAATAGCAAGAGCCATGCTGGAATAAAGAGAGGGCAAAGTGCCAATCTATAGATATACAAAGCTGATAGTATCATAGCTAAAAATACGGCTGAAACTACAACAAAAGGGGGTTTGACAAAGTTTTGATACTTTGGAGCAAATATGCAGCACAGACTTTTGGAGAATTGTATTTTTAAAATATACTGAAGACTGACTTTGACCCTCATGTGTGACTTTGTGTTGGTATGAAGCTTAGAAAATAGATTGAACTGGTCATAAAATAAGAGATATAAGAAGTGTTGCAGTGCTCATTATAACCCTTCGCTTCAGACATTTTGGTTTGATTGTAAAGCAGAATCCTACTGGTGTTACATCTAAGGCTGGCTTCCATTTGGAATAAAAAAATAAGCAGAGGAACATGAAGGCGTGGAGGTAACAGAGAGGAGAGAAGGTCAGCGGGGTTGTACATGGAGGAACCGCTGCATGCATTCTATCCAGGTCCAGAGAAAGAAAACACTCCCTTTGACTGCAGACAGGAGAGCTGAAACCTCACTGACAGCCTCAGCTTCTTTTGGTTGGATTATCCACCGTGGAAAGCAGTGAAAGCTAATCAAACATCTACTTCCTCGCTACCAAAAGGGCAGTGGGTGTTAGGATCCTTTAATCTGGCCTGATTCAAACTCCTTCAGCATTCTTATTTTTCAAGGGAAAATATTTCAAGTAAAGAATCTTGTGTCAAAACGAAAGAATCAAAACCAGAGACCGCAACAATACCCAGAGGCCCACCACAGTAAAGCGTGCTGTGATTAAAGCTTAACTAGGAACAGATTCAGGGCGGTTCTGACGAGCACTGCCACTTCCTGCAGGGGTCTCACTGCTGGCCGTCACAAAAAGACAAAAGGAAGGGCAGGGATTGCCTCTAAATGACAAGCAAGTTTCCAAATTATGATTTTGCTCAGAAAAACAAAACTACACCTAATGACTCAAGCACACTGGAAAAAAATTGAAATCTAGATAAGTAATTTTTTCTTAAAATAAGTGAATTTTTCTTGGATTTAGGAGGTAAAAGAGACATTTTGCCAATGGAACAGTACAATTTACACTTAAAATAAGAAAAAAAAACAATTGCATTGTCTTATTCCAAGTGCATAATATCTAATTATCTTATTTTAAGAGTAAAAATAATCATTCCACTGGCAAACCATTACATTTACCTACTCAAATAAAAGATAAATACACTATAATTAGGATATTTTTACTTATTTCTAGATCATTTTTCCAGTGCAACTGTAAAAGCTGACATTAAATGTTCCTTTTCTTATCTTAACAACAAAAAAATATTGTTGAATTAATCATGGATTGGTTTATTTTTCTTACCTTCAAATGAAAGCAAAACTCTTGGCACAGGTTGAGGTAGGCTGGAGACCGTGATGATGAGGAACAAAAGAGCAGGGAGGGAAAACGCCATCGCTGACCCCCCCGGCCCGCCCATGCCTTCCTCTTTCAGGGCAAACGATCAGTCTGTGGGAGACGTTACACAGAAAGGAAAAAAAAAAAATCAGGTCTGACCAAATGTTTTATGTGTCAATTGCATATATAGTTCTGAATAAATTCAGTTATTTTTATTCATAAAGCACACGTTGAATGCAAATCTGTTCTAAAGAGGTTATACATAATAAAACTATGCAATTATTCAGTTTTAAATACGGATAATTTCTTTCTTTTATCATATACCTCGCTTAGCAGAAAAAAACTTTTATAATTTCTTTTTTATTTTAAGAAATTATGGAGAAAAACAATGCAATCAAAATATAAATTCCTATGAATAATTCTATTAAAACCTGAAAAAAAGACTTCCAGATTTTTAACACTGGAAAAACGATCTAGAAATAAGTAAAAATTTCTTAAATTTAGTGTATTTACCCTTAATTAGAGTAGGTAAATTAGATAGTTTGCCAATGGAATGAGTATTTTTACTCTTAAAATAAGATAATTAGATAATATGCACTTAAAATAAGACAATGCAATTGTGTTTTCTTATTTTAAGTGTAAATTGTCTTGGCCTATTGGCAAAATGTCTCTTTTACCTCCTCAATCTAAGAAAAATGCACGTATTTTAAGAAAAAATAACTCTTCTAGATTTTGTTTTTTTCCAGTGAACAAAGTAGCAGTTTTCAAACATCATATATTAAAAGAAAAATGTGTGATTTTTTCAGCTGCGTAGGCCAGAATTTAACAATAAAATAAACAAAAGGCTGAGCAAAAATGAAATGCAAGAGCCCAAACTCTCCTGGCCAAAGTTAAATAAACACACAAATGATTGATCCTTTTAGGAAAATATTAAACGGACTGGCAACACAGTATTTAACATTCTGGAAGGTGTTTCCTCTTGTGATATGAAGCACAATATTTCAGAACAAAACATCATGTCCATAGTTAAACATGGTGGCGGTAGTTTGATGGTCTGCTGCACAACTTGGAAAGCTAGTTATGACCAAAGGGAACTTTAACTCTGCTCTCTATTAGCAAATCCTGCAGAATGGCATGGCATTCCGTTTTAATTAAAGCTCAGGTGCAGCTGCTCAGGTCCTTATAAAGAAAAATATACCTTCCTCCAAAGGATTGGCCAAAATAAACTGTCGTCGCAGCATGAACTGAAACAGTTTGCTTAAAAATATCACAAATTTGTCTCAATACTAAAATATCTGCGAACCGGTAAAACATCACATCCAACCAATCTTTAAAACCTCTTAACATCCACCTCATTTTGGGAATTTTTTAGGAATTTTACCCCAAAAAACTTAGGAACTGTAAACCCAAATTACATGTGTGATAGATTATTTTACTGGAAAAACGATCTAGACAAATTAAGTGTATTTACCCTTTTTTTAAGTAGGTAAATGAGATGATTTGCCAATGGAATGAGTATTTTTACTCCTTAAAATAAGAAATTTAGATAAAATGCATTTGAAATAAGACAATGCAATAGCTTTTTCTTATTTTAAATATAGATTGTCTTGTTCCATTGGCAAAATGTCTCTTTTACCTTCTCAATTCTAGAACAAATGCACTTATTTTAAGAAAAAATTACTTATCTAGGTTTTGACTTTTTCCAGTGTTGAAAGCTACACTGGAAAAACGATCTTGAAATTAGTAAAAATTTCTTAAATTAAGTGTATTTATCCTTAATTTGAGTTGGTAAATGAGATAGTTTGCCAATGGATTTAGTGTTTTTACTCTTAAAATAAGATAATTAGATCATATGCACTTGGAGTAAGACAATGCAATTATGTTGTCTTATTTTAAGTATAAATTGTCTTGTTCCATTGGAAAGATGTATATTTTATCTCCTCAATCCAAGCACAAATGCATTTATTTCAAGAAAAAAATTACTTATCTGGATTTAGATTTTTTTCCAGTGTAAGACCTTCTAGTTTCTGAATATATAAACTGCAAAAACGTTCTGAAAATTAGTAAAAATGTCTTTAAACAAGTGTATTTACCTTAAATTTGAGGAGGAAAATAAGATGATCTGCCAATGGACAATTATGCACTTGAAGTAAGAGACTATAGTTGTTTTTTCTTATTTTAAATGGAAACTGTCTTATTCCATTGGCAAAGAGTCTTACTTACCTGCTCAATTCAAGAATAAATGCACTTTTTTTAGGAAAAATTTACTTACTTAGATTTACATTTTTTGCAGTGTACATACAAATTGGGTGAGTAAGACACAGCCCAAGCTGCATCAGTTCAAACACGACTTAAAGTTGTTTTAAAAGACCTGCTTGCTTGTTGTGGCTGCTTTGTGTTGGTACATTGTGACATGCTGCTATATCTGTGTTAATTGTGCTTTGGGGGTCACTTTGTCCATAAAATGAACTTTGTACACTGCAAAAACAATCTAGAAATAAGTAAAATTTCCTTAAATCAAGTGTATTTTACCTTAATTTTAGCAGGTAAATGGGAATGCCAATGGAATGAGTATTTTTATTCTTAAAATAAGATAATTAGATAAAATGCACTTGAAACAAGACAATGCAGTTGCTTTTTCTTATTTTTTAATGTAAATTGTCTTGTTCCATTGGCAAAGTTTCTCACTTACCTCCTCAATTCAAGAACAAATGTACTTAGTTTAGGAACAAATTAAATTATGAAGAATCTAAGCTTTCCAACAATGTCTATATTGGTAAACATTTTACCAGTGTTATTTTCATGCATTCTGAGTTATTAGTTGTAAACGCTTTAAAACGGGTCACTGGCGACCCGGGGGTTTTTGAGAGGATAAAGAAATTTCACAGCATTTAGAACTTCTGCACTGGAAAAAAATCGAAATCTAGATAAGTTTTTTCTTAAAATAAAGTGTATTTGTTCTTGGATTTAGTAGGTAAAAGAGAGATTTTGCCAATAGAACAAGACAATTTACACTTACAATAAGAAAAATCAATTGCATTGTCTTATTTCAGGTGCATTTTATCTAATCGTCTTATTTTAAGAGCAAAAATACTCATTCCATTGGCAAACTATCTCATTTACATACTCATATTAAGGGTAAATACACTTAATTTAAGACAAAAACTGAAAAATGTTCTGCATAAAGTTAACTGCGTACAGGGGGGCAATTCTGAAGAAATTATGATGAAGCTAAGGCGGAAATTCAACTGAAGAAACTCTGATTACTTCCATTCAATCTGAGGCTGATCCGCCTCCGATGCAGCCAACCTGCTTCAAGCTACATTCCTCGATGCCCAGTCATCTTCCAGCACTCTACCTAAAAGCCTCTCCAAATCATCTCTAGGCCTGCCTTTCAACAAGCGCAAGATCCGTCGCTCCCATGTCGGACAGCGTTTATGTTTCCTGCCGAGGCCTCAGCGCCAAAGTTCAAACTATTGTATCAAACTCTAATTGCATCTCTCTCTCTCTGTGAGTTTTTCAGATTGAAATATAGAAGCTGCACGCAGAAGAGAAGATCTTAGAAATTGAATGACTGTTGACCTCTGGCTCACCAACAGCATAGAGGAACAGCACTGAATCTAAACTTGGTAAAATCTAATGAATATAAACTCAATAACTGATCAACACAGCAGCCTAGAAAACCCAATGATATGATTTTTTTTTACAATAAGCGTATCAGAGTTCCAGGTATGTAGATTTATACTGGATAGACCTCAACAAACTCAACCAAAAACTCAAGCAAAACAACACCTCCCATCACTGGCTGTACAGTACCCCTTCCAGATGCAGCTCCCTTAAATATGCATGAGGTGGTTGTTCACAAAACAAGTGCTGAAGAAGTGCTCCCTCTATCACTTGTTCCTTTTCTATAACTGGACAAGAGCAGCTCAATTATTGATGGATGCAGGTACTGCGCTGAGCTGTGGGGCGTCATCTCCTGCAACACACTTGGATTTTTTAACCACTCAGACTAGCTGCTACAGCACCTGTGTTGTACAGAACCCCACTACACCAGAGACGGATGCAAAAATAAGATGTATTATTTACAGGAGTCCAAACCCTCATGATTTATACATGTGTAATAAAAAAATTATGACACAAGAAAAGAAAAGTACATGATTGCCATTAAAATGTTACTTTAGAGGGTTGTATACAAATAGGTGGAGGCGTGCTTTTGTTCGGCGAATCATGATTGATAGACTGCTGAAGTGGATTTCAACTGTTTAGGTCTGACATATGGAAAACTGATGAGGAACGAGATGTTTTGGCTGCACTTGAGAGCAGTTAAGCAGCAGAGGGGGCAATAAAAACTGCCCCGGGCCGTGAGCTGCAGCATCGCCTCCACACCCACACAGAGCACCTATCCTGATCCACGGCTTAGCCCTGTCCTCAAGCAGAGCACTAAATCATCTCTGTTTATAGATGCATATAAGAGACTTAGGACTGTGAAATGTGAACAGCCCTGGTTGTTTTTTCTTTAAGCAACATGCATACCATCTGCAACCCGCTAATTTGTCCAAATATTTACCATGAAATCAGATTTTAAAACCTACCTTAGAAGTTTACCTTGTTCTCCACCATCTAAGGCTGTAAAATTAGATTAAAAACACGTTACACTGGAAAAAAATCAAAATCTAGAAAAGTTATTTTTTCTTAAAATAAGTGCATTTTTTCTTAGATTGAGGAGGTAAAAGAGACATTTTGCCAATGGAACAAGACAATTTACACTTAAAATAAGAAAACACAATTGCATTGTCTTATTTTAGGTGCATATTATCCAATTATCTTATTTTAAGTGTAAAAATACTCATTCTGTTGGCAAACTATCTCATTTACCTACTCTAATTAAGGGTAAATACACTTAATTTAAGAAGTTTTTATTTATTTCTAGATAATTTTTCCAGTCTAAGGTTAATTATTCTAAAGGTCCAGATGTCTGATTCTGAATGTACACTGCAAAAATAAGTTAAAATTTCTTAAATTAAGTGCATTCACCCTTAATTTGAGCAGGTAAATGAGATAGTTTGCCAACAGAATGAGTATTTTTACACTTAAAATAAGATAATTAGATAATATGCACTTGAAATAAAACACTGCAATTGTGTTTTCTTATTTTAAGTGTAAAATTTCTTGTTCCATTGGCAAAATGTCTCTTTTACCTCCTCAATTCAAGAACAAATGCACTTACTTTAAGAAAAAATGACTTATCTAGATTTAGATTTTTTGCAGTGTAAGGATTCGATCAATCATGAATAGTAAAACTTTTCTTTAATGACATCTTTTGTTTTATGAAATGTTATTTTTATATTGAAATTTTACAAAATTTTAGGTCTATATTTTTGAAAATAACAAAATGCATTTTCATACTTTTATAGATTACTGTACATTTGCTCCCAACTGTACATATAATGAATGTGGGATATCCAAACCAACAGTCTCTATAGGATTTAGGATTATTTCTGCAGGAAACAAGAAGCAAATTTTTTAATTGGTGATGAATTCCAAACACACTACCAGTATTCGTCTAAAGATAAATGTGGCTATGGAAAGTTACTTTCTTTGTAAAGGCTAAAACAAAAGTGTTGTCACCTGATCATAGAAAAAGCCACCTTAGAATCCCACTTTCCAATATCTTATATTCCATATTGTATACTTTATCATTTATTTGTAAAATTATAATCATGATTCAAGCCAAACATTGATGAAGACATTGCAGAACAGCAGCATCATGAAACATTAAATACAGACTCGATATATTGTTGTGAATTAAAATGCAACAACCAAAACTAAAGACAGCAGAAATTTTATTGAAAGGCAGGACAAAAGCGGAAACAAAGCAAAGAGGGACAAATACCGAAATAAGTCATTACACTGCAAAAAATTTAAATCTCAATAAGTCATTTTTTCTTAAAATAAGGAGGTAAGTGAGACACTTTGCCAATGGAACAAGCCAATTTCCATTTGAAATAAGAAAAAACTATTGCATGGTCTTATTTTAAGTGTATAATATCTATCTATCTTATTTTAAGAGTTAAAATACTCATTCCATTGGCAAATCATCGTATTTACCTATTCAAATTAAGGGCAAATACACGTACTTTTAGAATTTTTTACTCATTTTTAGATAATTTTTGCAGTGTACAAAAGATTCTGACAGGGAGAAAAACTCATACACTGCAAAAACGAGCTAGAAATAAGTACAAATTTCTTAAATTAAGTGTATTCACCCTTAATTGGAGTAGGTAAATTAGATAATAGTCTTAAAATAAGATAATTAGATAATATGCACTTCAAATAAGAGAATTCAACTGTGTTTTCTTATTTTAAGTGTAAAATTTCTTGTTCCATTGGCAAAATGTATCTTTTACCTACTCAATTCAAGAACAAATGCACTTATTTTAAGAAAAAATGACTTATCTAGATTTAGATTTTTTGCAGTGTATGTCTTCCACACTGCAAAAACAATCTAGAAATAAGTATAAATTCCTTAAATCAAGTGTATTTTACCTTAATTTTAGCAGGTAAATGGGATGATTTGCCGATGGAATTAGTATTTTTACTCTTAAAATAAGATAATTAGATAAAATGCACTTGAAATAAGACAATGCAGTTGCTTTTTCTTATTATAAATGTAAATTGTCTTGTTGGCAAACCCATTGGCAAAGTGTCTCACTTACCTCCTCAATTCAAGAACAAATGTACTTAGTTTAGGAACAAATTACTTATTTAGATTTCAATTTTTTGCAGTGCATTTCCTCTTAAAGCATCTAAACAATGCATCAGCTCTCGCCCTGAACAGAACCCACCTGGTTAGAACAACCAACACCTTCACACAGATATTATCCAGCAACTGATCTTTCAGGTAGCAGAGCTTTGATAATAATGGCATACAGCCTTTTTTTTAAATATATATATTTAATGTAATGTGATCCTCTGAACTGTCGAGTCTGACACCTACCACACCCCACTTGCTCAGAGAGACAGTGATCTCCCCTGGAGAGCGTCTGACATTGAAATGCTGGTCTCAGCTGCTAAACTCATCATAGTGGGAGTTCATCTCCAGAGCGTTCTTTGACTCGGGTTTGGACACTTTGCTTCACCCCACATTAACAGCCACCATCCTGCAGCACTCTGGCATGAAAGGGGCCTTCAGATAAAAGCTGCATCACTGTTTGAGCAAAAATAATAAATACTCAAATAAATTTTTTTCGAGCCCTTCAGCCAAAAAGAATCCCAGAGTTAAGTGCCAGGAATCTCAGCAGGACCAATTAGACGGCTCTGCACGAAGGAGGCTGGTGCCCGGCGATGAGCGGTGAGCTTTATTTTCACAAGAGTGTGATGATAATTATGTTTATTATCTTCCATTCTTGGCTTTCAGCCCAATGAGTTTTCCTTCAGAAGCATTGCTCATAAACCAATACTCTTAAAAGTGAAAAACTGCATAGCTGGGGAAGCAAACCATCTCTCTGAAATAAATCTACATTTACAGGACTCCCATCTGCTCCCAGTAATGGCTTTAACACAGTTCAGCTCATCTCCATCTGGACGATGGCTTTTGTGCTTTAAGAATTAAACCTTAGTGGTAAACAAGTTGCTCAGTGTCCCGGCTCCAGCAGCACAGCGTGCGTTCATACCACACCCCACCGGTCAGTTGTCAACGGGTTTGCTGCAGCCACACACGCCTTTAAACGCATGACTCTAAGGAGCACCTAAGATCATGTGCTCAACCTTCTTTAAACCAACATATGAAGTTATAGAAGCATTTATAGAAACTCTAATGAGAGAATCAAATGTCTAATGTCTTTAGAAGGCCTTTAAACTCTTTTAGTCTGTGACTCAGTCTGGAATATCTCACTATTTAAAAGTTGTTAAGTGTGAAACAAGATTCTGATATCTGTTATTTAAAAGAAGCATTAAGTGATTGTTTGTCAGATTAAGTTTTGTTTCCCAGTTGTGGGACTTTGCACCTGTTCTCTCAACTTCTCCCTGCATCCAGATCTGCGTCATTAGAGGAAACTCTACAGCACAGAGCAGCAGGCTGCATCAGTCAACATTAAGGGTCCATGAAGAGGGACTCACCTTACAGGAGCTTCCAGTAGAGCCTGTCCCAACTGGAGAGTGAAGATCCACCCAGCAGGAGCTGATCTTATTCCGTCCTTGTTGAAACTCCCCGTTTCCAGTCTCCTCCAGTGACACCAGAGAGGAGGAAATCCATCCAGTGTTTCACGGAGCAGGTTTGACTGAGACAGAGCAGGACAGAGGAGAGGAAAGAGGGAGGAGGAAAAGGAAGAGACAAGCGAGTCAGCTGGTGTTCTATTACACACTCTTCGCTCATGTCCCCCTCCTCTTTCCTCCCCCCCCACTCCTCCCTCCTCGCTCTGTTAACTAGACAGCAAACAGATCACTTTAACAGCCCAAAACATCAGAGAGCTGGAGGACGTCTACCTCACATGGTGGGATGGTGAAGCATGAAAGGTCAGACAGATTCATTACTCTCCCTGCCTTGGATTTGCTGACTGGGAAAAAAACAAAACACTTTAGCACTTATGATTTGAATAATATCAGATTTTTACCCTTTTCTTGTTTCCAGACTAAAGTTGCAACATGCAGCAGCTCAAATGATTATATGCAAGTATAAATGTCCAGGGATAGCACAGTTCAACAGGTTTTTCCCAGAGGTAAAGCGATTTGGTCTGAAAAGTTTGCAACAACTGCAGAACAAAAGCAAAAATGTCCTAATTAAAGACAAATCTGGTCATAATTAGTGTTACATTTGAAGGAAAAGGCTTGCTGGTCAAACAACCCCATCTAAGCTGTAAAGTAAGGGAGCGGCGGCATGATGAGGTGTTTAACTGGGGCTGGAACAGTACAAAAAAAAACAAAAACATAAGAACATCTAGACATCAAAGACTGGACAAAAATTGGTTTTTAAAATGGACAACAACCTTAAATACACCACCTGATAATTTACAAAAAGGCTTAAGTACCATAAAGTGTGTATTTTTGGAGAGCGATTGTGAAAGGATCCCAATTACAGAGAAAATTAAGCTGCAGGCGTCTAAGGTGTGTTTTAAAAACCTTTACAGCCTATAAACGTTTCACACCTGTTCCGTCAGGAAGACTGAAGCACAATTCCTACAAACTCTTGCAAAAACCTTGAGGAACTTTTCCTAAAGTGTTAGAGCCAAAAAAAAAAAAAAAAGGTTAAAACAGTGCATTTCCAGATTAAAGGTAAAAAATATATATATCTTTCAATCTCTCATTCTAGAAGCCGATTCCTGAAAACGTGTCTGATTCAACGTCAGATGATTACAACACAGTTTTGGTGTTTTTTTGTTTTTTTTAAAGCACATGTCAAAAACTGCTGCAGATGTAGAAACACGTCATTATTGTTCCCGTTTGTAACATAAACCTGTAACATGATTTGAAGCGAAAGGCAGAGAAACAAGCCCACATAAATAGGTCTGCTGGGCAGTAAATAGAAGGTGCACATGGCTCTTTGTTTATGAGAAGTTTGCAATGAAAATACCCCAAAAAAACAAAAACGAAGGTTGGATTTTACTGCATTATGTTGTGTCTAGTTTTCCTCAGCTAGTTTTACTTAGGCTGAGCTCAAAATGTTCACTTTTTCACTTCTTGACTCAGTTTTACCTCAACTAAAAACAACCCTATGTGTCATATGTAAACTGTACGGGTAGACAGGTGTCCTTTCAATTGTAATTTTACAAGTTTTGCAAAAAAAAAACAACTAACAGTTTAAGATAAATGATTTCCAAACACTAATAGAACCCAAATGAATGTCTATCCATTTGAACTATATCCACTCTCAGAATTAGGAATAATACAACAACTGATAAAATAAATGAACAAAAAAAAAAAAAAAAAAAGAAACAAGCCGTTAAATATTTTATTAGTCATTGTACCACTTATCCATTTTTAGAGTTTTAGTATGAGTGCAATCAGTTCAAATATGGGCTTTACTATATATTGCAGTTTCCTATTTAAGTTCAGATTTTAAAATGATCTTCAAGATCTTTTGTTTTGACATGACAAAAAGATTTAGAATAATCATTTAAAAAAAGTTTAAAAAGATACCAGAGAGTCCTAAATTCAATTTCTAAGAATTAGACATAATCAATACAACATCATTGGAAGCATGAATACAGATCAGCAACCAGAAAGTCTAAGAAAGTTTTTGCAGATTTCTTATTGAAAAAGTAAAGATTCTCAAACCTACTCCTCAGGGCCAACTGTCCTTCATGTTTTTGATGCATCTCTGCACAAATGGCTCCTTTACCTCCTCAGCCTGTTATCACCAATTTAAACCAGGTGTGCAGTTGCAGGGAAACACCTAAAACATGCAATGGGTCCTGAGAACCAGACTGAGAACTGCTGGTATGATTCTTTTTGATGAGGCCATTTGCAAAAAAGAAAAACAAACTTCCTTTTTGAAATTCTGCCTCTTCTCTTGAGACACATAGTTTAGTTTGCTGATAATTTATCCGGTATTAATAAAGTCTATCACCCAGTTAGGATGCAGCATTAAGATATCCTTTTTTGGAGAAAAAAAAATGGCCCCAGCTCTTCTAAAAAATAAATAACTAAATAAAAGATGTCTCAGCTGTTATCCAAACTGAGCGACTTTATTAATTCCAGAAAACGATAAAGTGACAGCATCACTTGTTGTGTTTTTATGAGATTAGCTAACGTATTTGCATTTTAGTTCACTGTTATCCATGAAACCATTATGCACATACTGATGGGATGCTCATTTTATCATATCAATGGAAAAATAATCTGGTTAAAAGATGGTTTCATTTAGAAAATATTTAAGCAAACTTTTCTGATGAAACATGTGTCTTTGTTTTAACAGAAAAGTTTAGGCAGCTTTCTAGAAGTGCACAGAAGAAAAAAAAAATCAGAAAATGTGGAGCTGAAAAACTCAATTTACATAATATCAACACTTTGTCATTAAATTGACCTTGAACTGTAGGAATGATATGAAGGGAACTATTTTAAAACATAACCTTTAAAACCTTAAACTGAGTAGAATTCAGCTCATTAGAGGAGTTTTTATTTTTTTTAGGGTACCTCCTCGAAACTTTCGTGTGATACAAAAAAAAAAATGCATTTTAAGAAAGAAGCTTGAACTCATAAATCACTGTGGATAAAAAAAACATTAAATAACAGAGACATTATGCGTCATTTGTGCTTTCTTCCTTTCACCAAGGTCTGGATTTGACAGCTTTAGCCTCAGAAAAGGATCCATTTCATAACTGTAAATAATAAAATGAATATTTGTGCTCTATTATGATCTTCATATGATACGCTTTTGGTTGAGAATTGTTGCTGAAACAGGGAGAATGCATCTTAGGAGATATCATTTATGATCACAAGAAAAACAAAAGCGGTAGAATGAATTCACTGCTAGGAGTTACAGTAGCTCACCAATGAGATCTTATTCAGCAAAACAGAAATATGCAACTGTGTTTAACTAAACCGGACCAAAAACTGCAGCAGCATTAGTCTTTAGAGAGATTTTGTGAATTTATTGAAGCAAAAACTTAGAAGTAAAGAGTCTACTGAATGGGTAGTGCAGCAGTATGTTTTACTAACAAAATACCCTGCATCTATATTTCTATTAAAACCTTTCTGTGCAGATTTTCCCCATTGATATTAACTCTATTCATATGTGACACATGCCATTTGACTGTGGGTATAGACCAGTATTCCTTTTAAACCTGATGCCAATTAGTTTTCAGAAGAAATTGATGCATTTGTGGAAAATGACAAAGCAGTAAAGAGCAAAAGAAGGGGAATGTGAGAGTCAGGTCTCTAATGAAAATGTCTGACAGAGAGAAAAAATAAAGCTGAATGAGGATGAAAAAAGGGGATCACTGGTGGCTCAGACAGGAGGAAATAATTACCCCTCTCCAGTACAATGGAGCCAGATTTACGCCTCTCCAATTAAAGTGTCAGGATGGGACCACTAGAGCGATGTAGGTTTTTCATTGGTACGTGAAACCTCAATTGCTTCGTCCTCATAGGTGGAATAAGAGAAGAAAGGAAAGAGTGGGCGAGTGTAAAATTGAGATCAAGCGTATCCTTTACAGCCCCCATGACAGAAACAGGGCTGTAAGCTAATTTAATGAGCACTGAGGTAATGGACTCAGGTGACATAAAACACATTTACTTGGAAATACGTGATACCACAATATCTTCATTTAGGTTCAAAACGTTAAGGTTTTAATCTGAAATGATGCTTTCAGCAGGTCAGTTTGCTTCAGACTGCACGGCTTGACAAGCTGCAGGTGGCATAGATTTCAGGGCCTCTGCTTTTGAGTTCACCAGGCATGAAATGCTGTTCCCACTTAATCTCCTGCCCATGAACACACGCCCCTTTGAACAAGCTGCCCCTCGTTAGCACTGCAGATGTTACGCATTTGTTACACAGAAAATCATAAGTCAGGAGAAGGTCTCCTGCAGAGATGACCATTTAACATGCAGCTAAATATTAAAGGAATAGTACACCCAAAACATGATTAGCCTTCATTTTCTACTCACCCCCATGCTGAACAACACTCTGGAGTACTTTTTTGATATTTCAAATGCATCTGGAGATCTGGGAGGCTTCTTGCTGTCTGCTGACATTCAAATAATGGAGGTCTATGGCGCCCGAGGCAGAAAGGTCCATAAAAGTCCACAAAAAACATGTCAATATTCCTCCATACTGCTCGTCCAATGTATTCCAAGTGTCCTGAGTGGATAGCGTCCATAATTTACTCGAAACGAAGTCATTTAGAATGTTTTTAGAGCATAAACAGTAGTGTAAAGGATTTCCTGAAAGCGCGTTCACGAGTCTACGGAAACCGCGGCAGACCAAACCAGATGAAAGTGCGCATTCAGCTCGGCAAAGAACTCATGCTCTTCCTCAATACTGAAGTTCTCAGACATTTTTCTTTCGTTGTTTCTTTCTTTGCACAGCTAAAAAGCACATTTCTTCTTCTACGCTTGCATTATCGGCAGAGCAGACGCTGAATGCGCACTTTCATCTGGTTTGGTCTGCCGCGGTTTCCGTAGGCTCGTGAACGCGCTTTTAGGAAATCCTATACACTACTGTTTATGCTCTAAAAACATTCTAAATGACTTTGTTTTGAGTTAATTCTGGACGCCACCCACTCAGGACACTTGGAATACATTGGACGAGCAGTATGGAGGAATATTGACACGTTTTTTGTGGACTTTTATGGACCTTTCTGTCTCGGTCACCATAGACCTCCATTATTTGAATGTCAGCAGACAGCAAG